GTAGTGATTTTAGTAATTAGACAGCCATTAATAAAATATTTTTATTTTGTATTAAGTATACTCTTCATTTTTAAGCAAGTTATGCCAATCAAATAATGATTAATTTTTTTTTTCGTTATGTTTATTCAATGAACATATATGCTATTGAGCTTAGAACAAAATAAATAAAAACAAATAAATGTATTTTTAAATTTAAAACTTTGATTGAACACTACTACCTTACAGAAATATTTTTACATTTTACGTATTTTAATTTTAAGTTGATATTCTTAAATATATATGATTTCCTGTGTAATTTAAAAAGAAAATGAAAACGAAACATTTTTTTATTATTTTCCCGTTCACTTGGTATATTTATTTTTGTAGACGAGAAAAAAGAAAAATAGATTATGCCATAATGTGTCATGGAGAACTAAACTAATATTTTGAACAAGAAGGCCGTGCAGAGCTATTACCAGCCGACCGATAGTTACGATCGAAATAATTAGGATACGACAGTTGGGAAGTTTGGCGTGTTTAAGTGAAAATTCGTCGTCGCAGAGGTTTTTACAGTAATAGGCTTTAAGATTTCAAAAGAAGCGCGTGTACAACGCGTGAGTCGAGCACAAAGACACATATTATAACATTTAATTTTAAATTATATACGCGGAAACGTGAATACATATTATATGACTTCGGTTCGCGTGTTTTCCATTAGGAATGGTTTTCAGAAAATTATGTTATAACCCTCTAATTTCGGAAACTGAATAACACGAAGTACGATCTCGGTTCGAGGGGAAAAACATTGTACCGCTTATGATGTTCATTCATTTTATCGCTCTCCAAAAACGTCCGCTTTTCGCCTTTGTTTTAACAAGCTTTTTTGTAATATTTCCCGCACGCCACTGTCTCCGCCGTCATACATTCACGACATTTTTATGCTGTGAGAAGTCGACTATGCTAATATTCCAATTGTCAAATGTCCGTGTCATTGAATATTAGGTATTGTGTTACCATATCAGTTCGTCGCACTTTTTGCTCTCGCGACCGTTAATACTAAAGCGTAAACGGATTTATAATGTGACCAGATCACGCGATGAACTTTCTTATATTATATAATCGTATACATTTGTGTATATCTTTTTAAAATGTTTTTAGAAAATGTTTTCTATGAATATTTTAAAAACTGTATAAACTTTGAACATAAAATGGTGAGTTTGATTTTGAAAGCATTTTTTTGAATCCTTTATTCTGCTTAAGTGGTCGTACGACTTTTGTCTCAAAATCAAATATTCAATGAGAATATAAAAAACTCACATCATGGTAAAACCAATACATCCTTATTTCCGTTCCGCTCAGAATCTTAAAATCTGGAAAATGTGTAATTGCCGTCGTTGTATCTTTTGTTCGGAATTTAACACGTGTTAGTTTCTTCCGAGAGCCTATACTATTTTACTACGGGGCCCGAAATAGAATTTATTCTACATTATTCTTGCGAAAAGTTATACAAAATGTTTTTTTCCATCTGGTTTATTTTACACGTTGAAGGTAAAAGGTCTATTTGTTTGTACTGCACAAATATTATAATATACATGTATGCATGTCATAATGTGTATGTATATTCGTACTTTTTAATAAATTCTTCTTCGTATCTCTTCTCGATGTTAAGCACATTGGAATTAAATTCGGATCCAAGTATTATAGTGTCATCCATCATAGATTTTCATTTTTTTAGATGCGACTCCAATTTAAACACGCACTAACCTAACCCAGTCGTATTTGACGTAATATAGCCGCTTATACAGAACTCCATAGGTTAAGGAGTCTTACCATGGATGGTTTGCGGGATACAAGAGAATTTCATAAGGGCTACATTTTTTATCCATCCATCGTGTTGATGGCTACATTTTATTTTCGAAATTAGCACGAAAATTGTTACCTTAATCGTTTTTATAAAGATAAAAATATTGTTTGTGTGCATATCTACTAAAATAAAACTTGAGTTGAATCATTCAACAGTTTTTCATTTTTCATTTTTCAGTTTTTTTTTTCCCCCGATGATGTTTTCATCGTTTTTCGGAACCTACTAGGAGTCATTAATTACAGTACACCAAAAAAATACTTTGAAAAACGAAAATTCCACATATACCCGGTGACTGTTGTACGCGGAGTGATATGTATATAAATGTCGCACGAGAGTGGAAAAATGCAAGTGTTCATCCGGTCATTATGAATTCCAATGTCATACGAAACTGAACGGTCGCGTAGAGCGACGTCTATAAGTTTACGGGTACAGGAGAGGTACGAAAAAAATTCGAAATCCCGCAGTAGCTGCAGTCTTTTTGAACAACTTCTGCGCAATAGTATCGCGAGACGATTATTGTAAGTTGTCGAGCAAAGGAAACATAAAAATAAATTAAATTAAATTAGTACACGGTTCCGTTCCTCGTTTTCGCGTGACCGCTCATGGTAACGGGGGGGGGGGGGGGGGGGGGGGGGGGGGGGGGGGGAGTGAGGGTCTGTACCGCTATGAATGAACAGATTTCAAAAGTATTCCGACAAAGCGTTCGAGTATAATAATAATAATTACCATCTGAAAAGTAATTCATAATATTATTTATACTTTAAAAATAGTATTCTATTGTGTTCGGGATTTCGTTCATTTTCGGCTCTTCATCCCCAAAGGTTTTCTTCATTTTTCTCTCTGCCGACGCTTGGTTGATTTTTTTATTTTTCATTTTTCATAACAAGCGAATTTTTGATCGGTGTTAATTATTATTGCGCGTTCCGCCGATTGGAACAAAACCAAAATATAATAAGCAAACTCGATTTCATTCGGTCGGGACAAAAACAATAGCTGACCCGAGACGTTCTCAAATATTTCGTTTAAATTTAAAACTGCCTATTCTGCTACACGGCATATCACATTTTCAACTAATTTTGCTGTATCGTATCGTGACGATATTAGCAGGTTCAGTGTTTCAAAATGGGTAAGTATTCTTCCCAAAGAGGGAATTTAAGCACGCCTCGTAGGGCAATACAGTGATGAAGAAACTGTGAAAATCACCTACATTTATCTCAAAAATGTTACTGTATCAATATAATTTGAATTGTATAATTTATCACAAATTACTGATTTTAAATAATAAACATTTTCGTCTACTTTTTTCCAAACAGAGCCCCGTCCCCTAAACTTGAGATGGTAGGATATAGGTAGGGGGGGGGGGGGTAAAAAGGGTTGGGCAACATTGCGGTAGTTGAACTATAACATAATTATTTTATCCACGTTATCCCGGGTCGCAGAATCCACGGGTCGCCGTTCCAACACTCTAAGAACGTCGCGCACGAACACGCTGCTGGCAGGTCTACGGATCGTCATCCGAGAAGAGCACTGTTCTCCTCCTACTGCGATGACGTGATCGGCTTACAACCGCCGTACGTGAGCAGTAAACGTATTTCGACGGGTGTGTGAGTGGGTAGAGGGTCCGAACTAAATCGCCATCCCGTCTTGACCCGTCACCGGCCAGGAATCTATACACGCGCAAATAATAACAGCAGACGGACATTGCGCTGGTGTACAGGTACATAGTAAATACGTCATCTCGGACAGGGTATTCATTTTTAATGTTTAATGACCCCCTACTCGCGGTCTACATGCGTTCGGTCCGCGAAACCTAGACGTGCACTACCAGCATCATTATTACACGTACCGTACCGCGCGGTGTTCATTTCTTAGAGTTATTTTATTTCATTTTTTTTCTCCGTTACACAGTATATATTTGTTATATATATACGAGTATGTATGTCACATCCATTTAGTTAAATTGTTCGCTCCGTGAAAAGTTATCTAGTTCACGAATTGGAAACCGTTTTTACACATTTCGTGAAATACAAAATTATTTCATCAACCGTATAACTTTCAATAAAATGGATCACTAGATTTTCACGTAGTGTCATTTTTTTCATCAACCGACCAGCCATTTTATGAAATAAAAACTATCACTATTATTTTTCATCTGAAAATTACTTTGTATGACTTTCCAATAATATTATAATAGCCATTTGTGTCACTTATCTAATATAAATATCCTAATAAAATCATTATCTGAAATACATATTATCTTCGTACATAATATTGTAGTGGTGTGCGCTTAATAGAGTATTGACTAAGTTATAAAATCTTATGCGTGAATGTTCATTGTCATTTTAAATTGGAGTTCGATTTGAAAGTTGAATTTTATAAAAAATTGTGGTAAAATCGAAGGAATTTAACAACAGCATCATGGATAAGTATGAACCTGTGAACGTAGGACGACAAAATTCGGTGAAAAGAAATGTTAACTCCAAGTATAAAAAAATTATAAAATATTGACATAATTTCTTTCAGAAATTTTTTTTTGTTACAGGATACCAAAGATTCTCATGATTGAATTATAAATGATTGTGTGATAATTCTATTAGCAAAAGTTGATATAGGAACTTCAGATCCTGGAAATTTAATCGGTGTCATTATAAACAAAAAAAATAAAATAAAATAAAAAATAAAGGAACTGAAAATGGATTACTTAAAGGATGGTTTGAATCTGTAGTATATAATATTTTTCGGGTAAAAATAATAGTTATATTTTTATTAGGATTTTATTAGGATAATTATATTAGATAAGTGACACAATTGGCTATTATAATATTGTTGGAAAGTCATATAAAATAATTTTTAGATGAAAAATAATAGTTATGTTATTATTTCATAAAGTCATTGATCAGTTGATAAAAAAAATTACAGGATGTGAAAATCTAGTGAAAATTTTCACTAAGTTCACTAGTTCATGAAAAGTTATTCAGTTGATGAAATAATTTTTGTATTTCACGAAGTATAAAAAAAATGGTTTCCGTTTCATGAACTTGATAAATTTTTATGAAATTAAAAATTTCACTAAATTGATCCGACACACACAAACACACACACACACACACACACACATATATATAATATATATTATAAATGTAGAAAATAATCTCACCCGTCCATCAACATTTTCGTCCGATTCCTGACCCAGTAGTTGATGGATTTTGGATAGGATTCCACGTGGCATTCGAGCGTGACGTCTGTGCCTATCGGCGCTCCTAGCAGTTGGTTGGGTACCGCGATCACGGGTGGAACTGTAAACAGACAACGAGAGCAAATATTAAAATATTCCACATGGAAGAACAAAATTACGACGGACTGCATGTAAAACATGTTTAGGTAAGATTTTAAAATTTAAATGTTAAGATTCTACGGATTTTAGGATTAAATTGCAAGTCGCACGTAGTTGTACACTGGATTTGGGTTTTTATTATCAATCGTGTCCCAATCACGACTTAAAAAGATTTTATACAAATATATATATGTATATATTTATTGAATTAATAAGGTTATAAATATCTGAAGTTATTAGCCAAACATTTTAACGTATCAATTTTAAAAATTATGTGGGTTGGTGGACATTTGGGAATATTGGTTATGTAACTAATCTTAATTTAGTTTTGATAAATTTTATATCTGTGAAAAACTTGAAAATGTTTCACAAATTTTCCTGTTCAAGTGATTGTTTCATCGTGCGTGAGTTTCCTAAAATTTATTCGGAGCTACTGAACCCAGGGCATTATAGTACGATATGTTTGAATTATTTGTTACAGGGTTCACAGGTTGGTATTCTTCTTCAGTTATAAGATGTAGATGTGTTAAACGAGATTAATAACATATTATTCATTTTTGTCTCGATCGGAACGTTGCCGGTGTAAATATTTGACCATCGTATTTAATTGTCGTGTAACTGTCAGTTTTGTTTTTTTTTGTTTTTTATAAATCCGCGACATTCTTCGGCTGAAAATCGCGTACTTGCGGTTCCGGCACTCGTAGTTCATGTCGGTCTAAACACAACAACTCGAATTCCGGAGTAGTAAACGAACGACGATAGAACGTCGACAGTTATGCGTATGCAGATTTTGCGTTAACAACGGTCCGATGATGTGCCGCGCAGACGGTATACCGTGTCCCGCGCTTTTCTTCCATTTTTTCGTTATATCACTTGTTATTAGTTTTTTTTGTATTTTAGAACTTTCAGTATACTAACTTTGATAGTCAGGGATACCAATTATGGTATGATATTGGAATCGAGGGTGACATGAATGACTCTGGGAGATCGGTCCACGTGAAGATGAATGGTGCTCCTATGCAGTAAGAAGGGAAGGTAGGTGTTAAGGGGAAGAGAGTTGTGAAATTTACACGGATAATAAAATTTAAAGGGGAACAACATAATTTATTATAGATGTATTATATATCTAATCGAGCCAGTAATTTAATTATATATATTGTAATACACTGTCTGTAAAAAATGGGTGTAGTCAAAAGATTGAAGATTTCTTAATACTTCAAATGCATAGAATTATATCATATAATAATAATAAAAATACGTAAAACTTTGCTATTTTTATTCAGATATTAATATAAAATTTTACTGCAAGAAATAAAAACGTTTAAAAAGTTTATTTTTGATATTCATTTTTTCGAAAAGGTTTCTTTTCATTTTAGTTTTTATGTTAATGAATGGAATTTTATTTTGAGACGCATATTATCGAAGTATTTTATCCGAGGGCGGTACAATGAAATTGCGTTTAAAAAAATATTCTAAGGATTGAGATTATAATACATTAACTTTTGTAAGCTATAAATATGATTACGGATCATTTATTTACATAATGTTTGTCTGTTAACATTTTTGTTTTTTTTTATAAGTTTTGCATAGAAAAACTTCAAGATTTATAAAAAACAAACAAACTTACACCTCTTAACTATTAAAAAAACAGCTTAAAGAACAATTCATAATTTATAAATATTAATAGAATACCGGTATAAGAGTTGAATTTGAATTTATTATGTATATTTTATTTATTCAAATTTTCCCTGATTTTATACGAAGTGTTTTTTATAGCTTTATTTAATAGCTTTATAATAAATTGATTATTACTTAATGTATAAAAATATTATGTTAATACTGACTGCGTTTAGTTTTATACATTTATTAACGATATTAATGAATATCATCCATAAAGTTTTATGTAAGCCGATATTTCCTTAATTATACATAAAATAATTTGTTTTTCATTTATTTAATTATGGTACATATATATTGAAAATATATTATTTGCTTCGTTCTAAGTCTAAAAGAGGCAAAAATCATAAACCTCAATGGATTAATTAACGGTACATTAGTGAAATAAAAAAAAAATTGTTTATTTGCGTTGATTATTTATAAATAAATCCAATCTTTAAAATGTTTCGAAATTAAATAAGCGTATGATACTATGGTGTAATATGTAATTTAACATATTGCTGATGGCAGGTTAGTCAAATGCTTAGTTATTTAAGCATAGTGAAACAAATGAATGAATTAAAATAATAATTTATTGTTTTCCTTGTTCAGTTAAATATTTTGTCATGACAATGACATGGTACGCGATGAAACATAATTTTAATTTCATCCAATGATATTGTTAATTGAAAAATCTTGGAAATTCGTTGATTCCATATAATAATATGATTGAACCACATTCAACACTAACGGACAAAAAAAAAAATTAAAAAATTAAAATTGAATACAATTATAATATTTAATTTATCGAATGTTACTTTGTAATACAGCGCGTTGTCACAGGTTTAATACATCACTAGGCATATCATTAGGACCGGATTTAGAATAAAGACCCTTTTAAATATGCCGCCCCTACCCCAAGAAAAAAAAAATGTTGTAATTATTTCTAATAAATTGATTTCATGTTAAAAAAATTAGGTCCTAACCTTAGCAGTATACATTTTTAATCTTAAAATAATCTTAATAATCTTTAATCTTATACCTATGTTATCTATAACATTGATGACGAACTTATTTAGACGCGAAATCGTCGATTATATCATCATAATTTATACTTCGAAGCATCTCAGATTCTATGTGTAGTATTGATGTTGCATTTAATCTATCTGACTCCAAAGTTGAACGAAGATGTGATTTTACTTTTTCCAATGCTGAAAATGACCGCTCTAGTGTACAATTTGTTGCAAACGTGCACAAATACATACGTAACGCTGTTATCACGTTTAGGTAAATATTTATTAAATCATTTGTATAAAACATCTTACAAAGTTCTTGGGCGTTTCTTTTTTTGTCAGATTTACAAAAAAGATGATCATGAAAATGAAGACATTAATTTGTAAATGATTTTTTCTATATCATTAGGATATTGTTCTATTAATGCCCTAGTTTTCTCAGAAATAATTTCTTCATCAAAACTACATATATTCGTAAGAAAATCAAATTTGACACATAAGTCTTTATATAAACTGCTACGTCTTACAAGTTCAGAATACAATTTATCTAATATAACGAAGAATACATTTATTCTGAAATCTTTTTTGCCTGTTTCTGTAATCATTTCATTAATTGTTTTGTCGAATTGACATTTTCTCTTAACAGTTCTCCGCAGGTCTTTTTTATACTGCATTTCACCGCATATTTGTATAGCTTTTCCTTCATATTCTTCAGAATTATTTCTAATTCTAGAAATATACTGCTCTAACGATCCTTATAATTCAACCATCATTCGTAATTCAATATTAACTATATGAAACCTTTCTAATACTACGTTCTAAAAAACAGTCATAAAGCACATTTCTATAATATTGAAAGGTTTCACAAAAACTGAAGCATCAAATTTTATTACAGATTTTTCATTGGCATCGTCAATAATAGCCTGTAAAAGCGTTATTTATTTCACTCCAAGAAGTATAAAAAGATTTACCCGCTTCGTATCTTGCTGACCATCGGATTTGAGACAAACTTTTTACACACTTAGACTTTTTTAAATAAAATAGTAAAATTTCCCTACGATGGGTAGATGCTGTGAAAAAGTTATATAATTCTTGTAGATATCTAAAATATGTTGTCGATTTTTCACAGCAATCCACGGCAGATATCCCTACAAAGTTTAGGGAATGTGCTGAGCAAGGGACATAAATGACAAGCGGAATGACTTCTTTAATTCTGGCTTGAAGGCCAGTGTATTTACCAGCCATGTTACTGGTTACTGGCATTATCGTATGATTGTCCGCGGTAATTTTTATTATCCAAATTATATTGATTAAGTGTATCAAAAACTGCATCAGAAAGTTGTAACTGATTCTATACGTCGGGGTTGACGATAGATATTAGTTAACTGATTTTGAGATGATCTGTAACCGTTATAGGTTTTGTCATCAAAATTATAACAATATATTTTAATACTGAGATACTTATACTTTATTTATATTATCACGTAAAAATAACTTTTCGCAACAAACTCGTATGGTGTTATACAATAGTAACGTTGCTTTTAAATATATAATAAAAAAAAATATAATATAGTTATATCATCAAACTACAATAACATACAACATAGATATAGAGTAGGTTAGTTGTTTGAATATTTACAGAGTGAATAGGGTCAGTAGTATCGTTGGTTGGACGTGTATGGCTCTTTTCCTCTGCAAATATTGTTGATAAACGTTCAGGGTGGCTGTATCAAGTGCTTATGGCGTACTGGGTGACAGCCGCTGATCGCCGTATGTACCGCGATAGATAGACCGCGTAAAGATAAGAGAGTTGGTCTGGATTTTATACTGTGCAAGTATACCGTGATCAACTCAATATCTTTAACTGGTGGCGGTGGATATCACTACGACGGTGGACACTGTCGGATCGGACGGACACGGTCAGAACGGACGGACACGATCAAAAACGAACGGACTCGGTTGAGTTGGGCAGTTAAGATGCGGATTGATCGTTGTATTATTTCTATTATTTCGTCTAAAACCCGTACTATCCTGGACTTTATACTTGTGTAAGTATACCGTGTATAGTCTGGTAAAGGAGTTGGCACTGGGCTAAAACTCACTACAATAGAAAATTGTGGGTGTGCCTCGGGCTACAACTACTTTAGCGAAATAAAATACTTTCTAGTCCGGGGAGGGAAAAGGATACCGTGGTCGACAGAATCACGGGTACTTATACGTTCACGTCCGACACGGTTTTGGAAGCCTTTCGTTTCTAGTGACCTTATTGATGGTGTCTTAAGACCGAATAATG